TGACAATCCCAAAAGACAAACAAGTGACAATCATCATGTTTGTCAAATACATCGTCGCTCTTCTTCCCTTGATGGCTTTCGCGGCTCCGACCGTCGACTCGTCCGTAACCACCGTTTCCGATTATAAGGTTGCTGGTATTGTTGTCATAAAACCTGCCGGATATTCCGACTCTGAGTTTGTTACAAAGTGAGTAGTTATATCTTTGAATTCTCCTGGAATTCTTCTCCTTGGTAACAAGACATTGTTCACTGTTAATGACAAACTTACATGTATGTCGACAGAGCTGACGGATAGATTCGTCGGAGAATGTCTTGCCAAAGACACTAAGTCTGTTTATTCTGTCCAGAAAAGTATCACATTCGAAGGTCAGTCTATTACTCGTACTCTACTGTATCATTAATCCCATTGCCCGTTTCAAGTTGAAAACATCATTACACCTTATGATTTTACTTCACCATCATCTATAACCATCTCGTGATTCCACATAGATCCTTCCTCCATCTTTTGTTGTGACTGGATCTCGACGTGGAATTCATGGCTGATGAATAGATCGCTACACACTCGCTTGTGTAAGTTTCTGTTCCCGTCATATAACAAATGGATTTCTCTGACATGCAGGCCGGCGCGATCGAAGTTGACAAAGTCTATCAGTACAATGGCAAAACATACGCTAAAGAAGTGTGTACGGAGATTGGGGCCATCATTGTTAAAAGCGTCACCGTTACGTACAATTGATCGTTTTAACGCAAGCGTTGGCTTGATAAGCTTGGGTTCTCAAGGGTTTAATTCCACTTCATCGTAGGGAAATGGTACACGGGAATGCATCGATTGATGGGCACAGTTACCCCGAATAGATCTTCATCTCGCTAACCGTGAGTGTGAGAATTGGGTGAAGGGAATATGATCCACGGCGACTTTCACATCCCCCTGAGTGATCCCTTATCCCTCAAAAGATCAACGTGATGCCCGCAGAAATGACCGCTCTGAACAGTACTTTTAAGAATGTATCTCGTTGTGAAGGTGTGCTGTCAAGGGGAGAGGTACATGTGAGATTGTCTTATCACCTTGGATTAGACACTTCAACACTTTCCCGGACAAAGCTCTTCTTCCATACGATTCCTTCTCGGATCCATAACACGCTCAACAAATATTTGTGACTTTGAGCTCATTGCTCTTGATGGTGCGGGCAACTTGGAACTCTTCCCATTTCTAGAGCGCCGTTTTCACTCATCACGGTTCAAGGAGTGAATCGCTCGATGACCCCAGGAGTATGTCAAATTGATAAGCATTTCCGTAGATGAAAAAGAACAAAAAAGAATTAGAGTGTTGTAACCCTACATACCAAATTGGTCTTAAGTAGAATCACATATCTAAAGTACACTTTGATGTCAACACTACTCATCCTCATCATCACTTCTATCTTATTGTCTGCTATGTCATGCTCCCGGTTTGTATCCCTATTCCCGACGTATCTCTAGTCACACTTTGAGTTCTTCCTCCTCCAAGCGCCAAGGGGAACATAGAAGCTGACCAGTTGACATAACTGACCTGTCAATCATTTCGGAATCATCACACGTGAAGTATTTCACTTTTGACTCCATTACTCGAATAAGGTACTCATGACTTATGTGGAGATCAACTTTCTAAAATTGGTCATTGAGATGATCCTACCTACGACGTAGCTATTCGTTTAAGAGGAGTGGTCCGTCTCTGAGGCCAAAAGTCAAGCTATCTTGTCGCTTGAGGAACGCAGGATGAATGATTGGCAGGTACACCGGAACTACGCTTGAAAGCGACGTATCTTATCATGATGATCTTCAACTCCGGAATGTAGTTCATAAGCGTACTTCTCCGTAGAACGACTTTCAAGAGATATAATCATCAGTGACTTGCCCATCTGTTCGGGTGCTTCATTCGGGTCTGTCAGATGAAGACCTTCGCACGCATACGACTTCAAGAAAATTGGAATCATCTCATACCGTCACCCGTTCATACGATGATGTCAGCTTCAAAATTAACAGGTATAAATACTTCTCCCAGCCTCTAAAGAATTTTCAAAATCGTACTTAATCTTTTCAACGTACAACTTTCACATCATCCTCAGAAATCAACACAAGAAGACTACAAGATGTTAGCAGGGGTATTTCTCTTCATACTCCCCTTGATGGTAGTTGCCGCTCCTGCTCCATCTGTCACTATCCCACCGACTGACTACAACGCTTTTAAGACCGTCATCCAGTTTCCTGCTCATGCGGATCCTATCGCATTCGAAAAAGCGTGAGTTTTCACATCAACTTCCGGAAATTCAACCCTCATCAGCGTGAAAGTGTTTTTGGGAAAGCGGCAAAGTGGGAGAAAGGGATGGAAGTTGGTGAGAGAAAGAAAGCTAATGTCTAATTAGGTTCATTGCTGAATGTATCAAGGAAGCCAAGGTATCACAGGATTATTATATTGAATCCAAGTGGTATTGGCAGAAAGGAGCGGGAGGAAAGAACCTTCTAAGTGAGTCGCTTTTACGTACTAACTACCACACTCAACTCCCCATCTTTGTTGTGTAAAGTCTTCAAGTAAATCGGCCTGCTATACCATGAATCAAACTTCCATCAAGTCTTCGGGACATCTGTCACCAATGGGGGTTCTGGCTGACGATTTTAGCCCAAGCTACATGCTACTGCGTGAGTACCTAGTCTAGTGTTCCGATCCGAGACAAACACTCACTCGTAGATCAACTTCCTCAAGACTGGCGTCTGGGACGAATTGACCTATTCGGTAGCTGGTGACCTCGGGGCGGCTATCGTTCTTCCTGATGATTGACTCTTCTTCAGGCAACCCAACGACCATCCGGGTAGATTAGGCTGAATTGGTGAGGATTGGAGGAGTATATCATCGTGGGTTATCAGTGGGGTAACGAGGAGAAATCATGCACTTGTATGATCTTCTGCCCGTCCGAGTTTCTCCTAAAAGGTTCGATTCCCGCACGGCTCATCGATTCCGTGTGAAGCTCAGATAAGATCGACGTAAGCATAACGCCCGTGTGTAAGATGACTACGGGAGGCTTGATCTTCTCATTTTTTCGGGTGGGTAAGGAGAGGAGGATTGAAAGGGTATAAATACCAGCATTCATCCCTCATTCCTTCTCCATCACTTGTCACACTCGACCTACAGTACAACTTGACTCTTTCCACATTCTTTGACATCAAAATCATTCCATCAATAGCGGATAATGTTCTTCAAGATCTTACTTCTCTTACTGCCCCTCATGGTATACGGATTACCCACACCTCAATCACAACTTGACAACTACAAAGTCTTGGTGGAGGTACCTCCCCCTCTCACTACCGCCACTTTCCAACAAGAGTAAGTCCAGTTCCTAAAACGCACATCCTCTCGTTCACTCACCCATTCTACCCACCAGACTCCTGAGTTAGACAGAACCTTTCTAATGGTTTGACTGTTCTGATTCTACAGCTTCGATCGTCGATGTCTTACATTAGCAAAACAGTCGACCTCTTACCAAGAATCAGATTCGTATTTTCAACAAGGTGACTACGCCAATCAAAACTTGGACAGTATGTATTTCTCTTTCTGCTCCCCCTTCTCTCCCTTTCCCGCTTTGATAACTATGACTTTTTGACTTGAACTCGGATTTGAAGAGAGGCGCTGATGAACCTAGCTGAAGCTGTGTGTTATTGCGTGAGTAAACGATTCTCATGCTCCGTGGGTACTGTGAGAAACTGACGATCAGGTTGTTCGACTATCAAATGGATCTATCGTAGATCTCACCCATGACGTTCTAGCTTCTCTTGGAGCTGTCTGAACTATTTACGAATATCGCATTCTTTGACTGGCTCAAAGAAGATTCCCCTTTACCTTGAGGGCCCGGAGAACCGAGTAGTGCGGTTGTTAAGATGCATTTTTTGGATTTTCCAGATGCGGGAGAAAGATGATCGTCCCCGTGTATCATTCTCAGTGGCTTGTCAATCCCCCTGATCCTTTGACTCAGATCTCAGGAAGATCAACAAAACACTTGTATACACGTTCGTTTTCTAGCTGTCTCGGCTGCTTCGCCGGATCGCCGGATTTCATGAGATGAGCTGGTTTACTAGAAGACTAAAGAGACCAGGATTTCCGCATCCGTGCGCCCTACCCGTACACGAACGGTTCCTTGCACGACTCCAAACCCACAAAGTATAAACCCTCCCTAACATGATCACCGGGAACGTTGTTTGAGTGAATATCTCCATACACCTTCTATAAGTATTGGTAACTCCTATCATTGCTTCCAAGGGCCCCTCAGAGCTTGCAGAAGTGCTATCTCGCAAGAAACCGCACGACTCTCAAGCAATCATACAATTTCTTCATCTACAATCTTCAGCTTCCGAAGCTTACGGGATTCCTGACAGACTTCTTAGGTACACAAAGTACAACATCTATGAGATACTGACACTTGGGTCTATTGAAAGGGGTTGAGAAGTGAGCTATCAGCCAGATGACCCCATCTGTCGATGATTTTTCCTTGAAGGCGTTCTCGAGGGTACTACTTGTACTTCACATAGAAACCCGATCAGTGCGGAAGCAATCGGCTGGGTGACCGTTTCCGTTTTCATGTTGGTTGCCAGTATAGCACTGTACGTATGACTCTCCTTGTGCAGGTATATATTTGACAAATGTAGCTGAAGCGAGATCTACTGCCCAGATCTTTGGTTATCTTGGCCAAAAAAGAGTGATTGAAAAACTTCAGATCAACTCCTTCGAATCCTAAGCCAAGTCGGTTCAAGTGAGTCTAGTCCTACATGATCCTTCTACGGGATTGAACGATCTGCAGTCCATGAACATGTATGTAGAAAGGGGGATCTGTCAGACGTACAAACCGAAGTACCTGGCTTCATACATGCTCAGCAGTGGCTCGAAGATCCCCCTGAAGAAACCTCAAATCTCAAATCTCAGCCATGATCAGCGCCGAATGAGAAAAGACGAAGATTCGATAGGTCCAAGATCGTCCCGACTTGTTCTAGACCCCAATATACAATATACCGAGACGGCTGTGATACTCATACAATGGATATAAAGTCCTTCGTTCCATCTTGCACAAAGTACTGGAAGCATCTTCTACACTTTCCAAATCATCGAGAGCCAATCATCTCCCCTACACCACATCAGAAATATGCAACTCACCAAGATATTCCTCTCCTTGTTACCTCTGGTGGCCGCTACTACATCGCCGGACTATAGGACAGTCATTGCCAAGTCGGATTGCACGGATATTGATGATTTGGAAAAAGGGTGAGTACAGTTTTATGCTTGCTTTGAAATTTCCTGTCTCTCGGAGTTGAGAGAAGGAAGTTTAATGCCAGTTTCACCCTGCTTTGTCCGGTCATAGTACCCAAACCAAACCCTTATGTCAAATACAAGTATTATTTCTACAAAGGAGATCTTTCGGGTCATTTCAAAGATAGTGAGTCATTCAATTCAGTTGGAGAGTCCTGATTCCCCAATTTGTAGGAGGTGTGCGTGTCAAGGACTCGATCTCTCACTTAGACTCTACGAACATCCATCTGAGTTGAGACGAGCAACGTGCCAGCCGCCGAATTCCATGCTCGATGCAGTGAAGTCCAAAGCTGACAGATAGCCCAGGCCACAGTGTACTGTGTGAGTATTACGGTCTTGTTGGTAGATATAAATTCGACTAATGTACAGCTTTGGGGATATCCAAATGGAACGTATGATGATAAGACTTTTGACGTGTATAGTATTTTTGGAGCCAATGGTATCGTGTACAACTGAATTCCTCCCCCCAAGCTTGGTTCTTGCGCTAGATCTGAATTGTTGAAGGAGTGATAAATGATCAGTTTGATCGTTACAGTGTCATTACATACTGTACAAGCACTACAACCATCCGCTCCTATAACTGAGTGGTCGTCGTACATATTGCCTATTCGCCTCGCATTTGTGCTATTTGTTGTTGTTATTCCAGCAGTTTTCCCCGATCATCTCCTGACCTGATCCCTTGGCGCCGGTATGAAGATCACCTGACCCCTCACCTGAGACCGTTACCGAGCCTTGGCATTGCTAGCCATAAGTACCCTACCTTACCAGCCCATCTCTCTTCTTGTAGCCTCCTATCGATCTCTAATTTCCAAGAACGCCACTGTCTACTGCCAGATTGAAGCAAGAGAAAATGAGATTACCCGTGGTACTACTCACCCTGTTATCTCTTGGGTCCGTGAATGGAGTCACCACTCCCAACTATAAGCAAGTCATCGGGAAGTCAGATTGTGTGGATATTGATACGTTCAAGAGAGCGTGAGTACTTCAAACCTCCTTCTTCATACTACCTCCTACAATTGACGCCTCACATATCGAGAATTAAGCTGAATGGGAGGTTCAATATTGTCTGTCCTAACCTTTCGGCCGATCGTAATATCTATGTAGGACACAAGTCATATTTCCAGGCAGGAGACTTCTCCGGCCTATTCAAAGATAGTCAGTTATGACATTTTCTCAACTGTCCTCCCTTCTTGATGGAAGAGTTCTACAACCTTACTTCTGGTTCCTGAATGTCTGTGATAAATATTGGGTAGCGACGGAAACTTCCCCCATGGTGCTGACGCTGACTCCATAGCCCATGCCGTCGCCTACTGCGTAAGCACTCATGATATATAGCACGTCCCATGCTTGGCTAACGGAGAGATTTACGAAAAGAGTGATGGAACTTATGATGACAAGACGCCACAAGTATGTGAACTTCTTGGGGGCGGAGTCATCATCTACGACTAGTTCGACTATTGGCAATGAAACGTCGCTTCCCTGGTAGGAAGGAGTACGCGCGGATCTGTTTCGATGCATCGTACTCCAAAGTGCCACATGCCCACAAGTGCCACATGTGTTCCTACCCCACTTTCAACCCCGCATTGTGCCCCGCACGCACGCTAAAAAAGAAATGACCGCAACCTTGATCCACTCTTCTAACCTTTTCACCTCTCCCACCAAGGATCAGAGTATTACCTGCACAGCCATAGTATACGACTACTCGTTACTCCATCAGCGGAATCAGAGCCAAACTATATCCATGCTTCTCCCAACCATCCCGACGAACGGCAGCGGATCATGTGGGCGGTTGGAAATCGAGCGGGATCATCCCCTGCACCGCCGTCAAGATCTCACTTGACTTGTTTGGGGATATAAAGTATCCCCTGAACTAGATGTCGGACACTCGAATTGAGAAAACCCCTTTAATCGTCAATCTCAATCCCAATCTCGGACGCAAACAATATGCTGGCCAAACTCGCCCTTTTCCTCGTTCCCTTCGTCGCCGCGGCGGATTACAGGCTGTTGGTGAACAAGCCGTCGTGTGTGAATATGAATGAGTTTCAGCAAACGTACGTCGTCATTCTGCACTACCTTTGAGAATTATCATCTAACATGCAACTATTTACTTCACTGTTCCGTAAAGTTACATCTTCCCGCCTGTACAGTACATCCTCTTCCACCATTTCCAGATCCTGACAGTTGTGGTTCCGAGAGATGCAATCGACTATCCTCCGTTGAATCTTCACAGCCTCCATGATCTTGCTAAATGACTGACTTTTCATGCTGATCAGATGACAGTTTCACCAAACTCTGTCCTGTCTTCCCCGCCAACCCTTCACAATTTACCTCGAACGGTGTGTACTTCCATCCTGGTGATTATTCCGGAAAGAATAACGCTAGTGAGTCTTGTTCCTCAATCTCTCATTCCTCCTTCCTCCCTGAACATCCTTCTTGGTGTGATGGATGGCACAGCTTTCAGTTGAGTCACATCCACATACGTGGTAGTCCTTACAACATTCTGGAGGTCCCAATTTGCGGGGTTCATTTGGTGCAGAAGATAACGACGTCGTATGAGATGAAAGTCGCCCTTTGCTGACCAACAGCGGAAGCCTTGGTCTACTGTGTGCGTATTGTCTATTGCAAAGTCTGCTACTCGGATGTTGACGAATAGGTCTTTCATAAATCTGACGGCTCAACCGTACAATACACCACCGACGTTCTTTACGTGCTCGGCGGTAGTTTGGTGAACTGATCAATCTCAGTAGCTTCGCATGGTGGCTGTGTCAAAGGTTCGTCGTGCCTCTTGTATTCGTCAGCCTCAGTATGTTATGTCTTGTGAAATCATCATTTGACCCTGACTTACCTATCTCACAAGGATGAATCCCCTTGAAATTTATTGATGGAAGGACCGAAGATAAACTACCCCTCCACCTTTGAAGAGAACATCTACTGACCCCGGACGGCCTTGTGGCTGTGCCCATCATCGTCAAGTCATTCATCCACCAAATATCATCCCATTCGTGTCTATATAAACCCCTCTTCTCTCTCGAGAATCATCCTATTCAACTTACCTTCTCACTTCAATCCCAAACTACAACAACAACAACAACAACACACAAACATCTTCATTTCATATCAACATGCTCGCCAAACTTCTCCTTGCTCTCCTTCCTATCGTAGCTATGGGTATCTCTGTGAAACGTGATACCCCAAGCGCGTACCTTATCAAGACCGTTAACAAGCCGGTCCAGGGGTCAATCAACGACTTTGAACAGAAGTAAGTGGTTTTGTCTCTTTCCTACTCATGTCATTGTCAACCATCGCGTCGAAATCGTATGGATCATCATTTGGTTGATAATGTTTTCATTTTCTAGTTGTACCGGTCGATGAGACTATGGAAAAGCGCTGACGTGACAGCTGGGCAGACAAATGCGTAGACATTGCGAGCCAAGATCCTAGGGGAAACGGAACCACTAGTTTCTTTGAATATGGCAATGCAGCGGGTGAAAACAAAGATAGTAAGTGAAATATCATATCCCCATCAAACTCCCTTCACTCCTCGAATTCACCCATATGGTCGACCGTACCATGGAATCATCCGTGAAAACACATAAAAGAAAAACAACGCTGACCTTTCCTAGCCCAAGCCCAAGTTTATTGTGTGAGTTTTATTTGTGATATCGTAAATAGCGAACGATAGGCTGATATGTAGGTCGCTACCAAAGAGAATAATGGAATCACCGACGAATATCCTTGGACGACCGAAGTTGCTAGTGCTCTCGGTGCCGAGATTATCGGAAACTAGGTGTCTTCTGCTCGTTGAGGAGTCACACCTCCCAAAGCGTGATCAAGTTGGGAGTATTTGATTTGAGAGATGATGTCGTAGGAAATGGATGTATGCGTTTTCGAAAATGAGTTGCACTTGTTTGAATGTTATTGTTTGAGCTATCTCAATATCTTGTCAGGTAATCGTTGACTGTTCACTGTTGGATAAACCCTAATAATCTGTAAGACAAGTATCTGGATTCCTGGAATGTGGGAATAGAGCTGGACCCATGATCAATGAAGATTATTCCTACTCTGGTCATTGATGGTAAGATCGGATCAAATAGGACGTTCCGAGTCGAAAGAAAGAACGTGAACGTTAATTCTCAAAGAGGGAGTACAGTACTCAGTCAAGTTGATCATATTCCCGCATTTGAGCCCTCACTTTCGGATCTTTCCCCACAAAACTCATTCCGTGTTATCTCCACTTCTTGACTTCAGCATGGGAATTGAAATGCCTTCTCATTTTCCGTACTTTCTGATTCACTCACTTTCCCTGACATCTCCCTCATTATGTAGACTAGAGTAGAGTACTCGTACTCCAAATTTGTGGTGGATTTCTTATTCGGGACATACCCAAAGTCGACTTCTCCCATCCGAAATTCCAGACGTTGACCCATGTGCCTACGATGTACCCTAAATATTGCTTCACCCTCGTCTTCTTCTCCCCTTTTCCCTCGATGTGTGATCCTCCCTCTCAAGATCACCTCACCAAAAGTTAAACCCCTAATCAATAGTTTCCAGAATCATCCGTGCTTCCCCTCCCTTTGACAGGTTCGAGCTCATGGGGTCTAAAAAAACTCAATCTTCCACTTCTGATCTCCGGACGACCGTTTGACCGTTCGGCAAGTTCCTATTCTGGTAGTAAAATCAAAAACGACCCACACGGTCCCTCCTACTTCTGATTACACATACCATGGGGATATTTTCATCTATATAAAACCTATTCTTTCCTCTGAAAAATGTCCCCAGTTCACTTTCTTTACACGATTTTATAACTTTGATAAATCCACTTTAATCATCATGTTCGCCAAATTCTTTTTGACCCTTTTGCCTTTGGGAGCTATGAGTTTGACTATCCCAAGAAATGCTACCACTCCTGTCGAAGTTATCAAACCTGCTACCCAGACGATTGAGCAATTTGAGAGTTGGTGAGTTTTTCAGTCATTGTCTAGACTACGAACAACTTGACAACGATCATAATTCTTTCGTCTGTGTTGGTTCTTCTCTTATTCTCTTGACATAATCTCCATACACCAACCATTACACTCGAATGTCGAGTTTCTCATCTTGAGATCAGGATCAGGATCAGATATACCAATCGGTATGTAAGAGTGAGAGAAAGATTTTTGGGAAAGATGTGAAAGTAAAAGTTAGCTATGATAAGTAGGTTTAGTACTGACTTTCTAGCTGGGAATCTAAATGCGCCGAGGTTGCTGGTGCAGATCCGAGGGGGACTGGAGCTACCAGTTTCTTCCAGCGTGGTGATGGTTCGGGAGATTTCAAAGACAGTGAGTAGAAGTAATCATCTATCCTATCTCTTCATCCCTTCCCTTCTTTCATCATCACTCTCTTGTCGTTCATAGCCACATGTACCACCTGAACTTACACTTGATTTTCTCATATACCCCAAATACCATATCTCGATGGACAAGTGATGATGTATCTACTGTGAGATGAGAATCTCGCTGACATTCTAGCCAATGCCTTGGTATACTGTGTAAGTCGTCCTTCCATCTTCATGATACCAATTATAAACTGGACTGACGTGTAGGTCGCAACGGCAGATTTCAACGGTACCGAAACTGATTACTCTTGGACTTTCCAAGTAGCTGGGGATTTGGGCGCCACCATTATTCTTTGATATCACCATATCAGATCTTTACTATGTAGATTTTAGATCTTTGATAGTGAGTCCCCTGAGTGATGAGAGAATGAGAGAAAGAAAGGGGAGAAATGGGAATTCGGATCGAGGACATGTATGAAGTTTATTTTCGTTTGTTTTTTTAGTGTCGATGTCTGTGTTTATCCTTGATCCTCAAGCAATGATCGATGGGTGACCTAAGAATGGCCTTGACTTCGGTCGACCAGCCATTCCCATTCCTCCACTTCTCTAAAATCACCCCCTTTCTCCAAAGGCCATTGAACTATGGAGCTTTGAATACGTTTGAAACCATTTTTACGAAGGACGGCCGCAGATGCAGGATTATCAATCTGGACCACCTATCCATTAGCTTCCATCTGCAAGTCGTTCCCGTTGAGCATGCAAAGAAGAATTACACACAGAATGAATTAAAAAATTTCGACCGTGGAAATCGAGATCAAACTGGGAGAAGAGATAGAGGGTTCTTACTCGGGACATATCCCAGTCTAAAGACAGAACATTTAAGAGAGCGAATAGATCGATGTGAAAGAAGGATGAGAAGAAAGATAGACATACCCCTACAACCCTCTCAATACCTAATAACCTTACCCAACTGTTCATCACCGTATCAACCATTATGGTACCCATTCCTCTTCCTTGTATCTCTGGAGAAAGATCATAACTGATTTCCCATGTCCTCTTCTCCTTCCCATGTCCTGTAGTATCCACCAAATTCCCGGAGCTGCAAGTTTCCGTCGGTGACGCGAGATCTTCGAAACCTGATAAACTCTTACTTGACGGGGTAGCAGCATCTGGTGTAGTGAGAGGAGTTAAAAGTTCATCTAATTTTATCTTCAATTGACCTTTTGATGGTTGAACAGGTTCTCGGTGAGTCATGTGAATCATTCCTACTACTTTTCCTGATGAATCTCTCAATGTACCAAAAGGGAATTTCAACTAAACTTTCTCTTTATGGGACAAACTCTTGTAGATATCTTCTGAGTGACCTTTATGATCATTGAGGCTTGATACGGAAGATAAAACGGATAGGTTTTTCTCGTTTTTTTGTGTAGATGGATTGTAAGATATAGTAGAGGAGAGAGAGGGTATGTTGGATTTCAGGTCGTCGAAGAACTAAGAAATAGTCGGCATCGGAAGGTAAGAACCTACGTGATCAACCAAAGATTTTGTTGATACTAAGTACCACTTTTGGGTTTTATTGGCTCAATCAGATAACCATTAGTCTCCTTTCGGTGTGGAAGTTACAAGTAAGTTACAAGGTAAGTTAGACGACGAGAAGAGGGATCAAGTGGCAAGTGGTCCGGTGGGGGTTGTAGGTCGAAGATGAGAAAATCAACTTTGCAGATCTTATCGTGTAAAAGTGTCAAAGAGAGATAGGGTTGGAATGAGAGTAAGGAGATCTACCACAAAGTTGACAGGCGTACTTACGGAAATGGTCTACGGAAAGACCATTTACCAATTTCTGGATGATTACAAATTCTCACCTGATATGAGCTTTCATCATGTGGTTCAAAGTACATGACAAAGAATACAGTAGAACGGAGAGAACATACCATATCTCCCCTATCTTCTTCTCTCCAAGGTGTTAATCTATACTCTTTCTCTCCTTCCCCCTCTATGGTGGTCTTCTGATCGATGTGGTTATTTGGAATAACTGGAATATACAATTCTTGTCTGTCTTCATCCCATTGGATTCCATATGTCATGTTGTGTTGCTTGTTACTATCTATCAGGTTTTAGCTTTTGACAAGTAAATGAACTAAGTATGAGTAGTGAACTTAGTAAGTAGTGAACTAAGTAAGTGTACCAAGTAAGTGAGGAGAAAGCAGACAAGTACCTGCAAGAACGTATATAATCAACTTCAATAAATGTTGACTCGATAAAACTCGAAAGTCCATTACAAATTGTAAAACGTCACACAATCCTACATCTGTCAAAGGATCTCATCTTCCTTTTCCGAGTACAGACGTAATATGTTACACACATACATATTCACTTGTAGATGCGTCCTGATGTCATTACATATCTCCCCAATACAACATAACCTTTCAATTCATTCCCCTAAACGTTTCAACCCCTCTCTCAAAGCCAAAGGTCTCTCTTTAGCTCTACCCACCGCCGTCCCTAATTCCTCCACCACACCAGCCAACACCCTGACCTCTTCTTCCGGTCCTAATCCTCCTTCCTCACTTGCACCCAGATGAAATCCCATCATACTAGCTCCAAACACACCTACCTGATCGCGAAATCTCTTGACTTGTTGACGCGTTTCTTCCAGTTGTAATCGTAAACCACCAAGGTTGCTTATGGTTTCTCGGGTCAAAATGAGGTCGCGTTCTAGCATCTCGGATTTTGTGGGTTCACCGCCAACCATGAGATGTGTCCCACGATCGAGGACTCTACGCCATGCGGGGGATAGGGAACGTTGATGTTCTAATTCGTGCCGAGTTTCGAAGAGACGATGGAGGAGGTGTTGTCCATGCGACGAAGCGTGTGTTGCGTGAGATACTGCTTGTGCTGTGAGAGAATGGAGAGTATCAAGAGTTGATTGAAGACGGATGAGGAGAGAGTGAAGATGTTTTTGGAGTTTGGTACTTGATGGACGGACGTCATCTGGCATCGAAAGCATTTGGACCAACCGAGCGAACTGCAGTTAGCACAGTATCACATTGAAAAGGGAAACAGATGACGGGTTACGACAGAAAGGGGAGGTGGGAGGACAAGTCCGAAGGATGAATAAAGTACACACCTCCCACTGTAACCACGAGAACGAGTTGACGCTCATGGCGTCAATGGAGACAACTTCGTCCGTCAGGTCACGGGATAGGTCACCGAGCTACATCTCAGCTATAAGTTTGAGTAGCGGTTTCGACGTTGACTCACCTCGATCAACTGCCTCCCTAAGATCTCCTTGTCGTCAAGATTAGAAACCTGTACAGCAACGCCTAATTCCCACACCCTAGTCGTCAGCTCTGGCTATAGACCTTGACACAACAGCTTACTTGAGATACTCCAGCCCTCGTACCAGACCTCCATCTCCCAACAACCTCACACTGTCAAAGATATCCCTCGCACCTCTCGCTTCCTCTGCTAAAGATCGAGCGACAGTAGCCACGTCCAATCTCGTCTGCTCTTCTTCGATCTCAGCCGTTCTCAACCTCCACCACGGTTGAGCTACACTAGTCACATTTCCCTGTTTCGTGGACCAAGCGGATAATGAGCACATGACGCCCAATAGGGAACATGAAGAAGTCGCCACTGCGCGTAAGGGTAGAGACACGTCGGTGAGATATTGTGTTTCGGTTGAAGGGAGCAGCCATCCTAGGCCGATGGAAGTTACGAAAGAACGCAGAAGATGGGTCACGAGATGTGAGGCTCCGGTGAGAAGTAACGATACTATGGTAATGCCGAGGAAAGAGAGGATAAGCGTGTTGAGTGCATGGAAGAGAAGTGCAGGTAACACGAGGCCGAACGGGCGGACAATGAGAGAAAGGGGAGTGAGCCAGAGGGAAAGTGTCTCCCCTAAACCAGGTCGAGGTCTCGAGGTAGAAAACGAGCGTGCGGGTTGTGAGTAGGAAGGTGCTGAAGGTCGAGAGGATGGTACAGCGGGGCAAGCGACTGAACGGCGGGAGACGACTTTTCGACGAGGGATGGGTCCACTACGTCGTACTCTGGAAGAAGATGGTGTGGTACTGACAGCGGGAGACGAACGGCCATTCCTACTACCTTGAGATGGTCTGATGGGGGTGGTAGGGGCACTCAACTTAGGTTCAACCTGTGACTCGGTTTGAACCGCAGGGAGCGTGAAGGTTGCCGGAGAATCATCCTCGACGTCTGGCTCTCCGTCGTCGTCGTCGCCCATGTCTTGCCACGAACCAGAGTCACCTTGTGAGCGATCAAGACGCTCCAACCTATGACTGAGTGGCTTGATGAGTGGGGAAGACGAGGACGAGCTTGCCATCTGGGGAAGGGGAGGGACGAGGTAGAAGAGGGTGGAATGTGAAAACGTCATGATGGCATCAAAAGTGTGGGGCAACGAAGAATGCCACGTCATTTGTGATTCCCAAGTTAGGCGTGAGATCGAGGGAACGTTGTCGGAATAAAAAGGGAGGGGCCCGTGCGATAGAAGATGAGACGATGTGTGGTGGGTCAAAGTGTTATGACGTCGTACGTCGGTAAACATTTGTTTTCCATTCCACCACTAAATTACCGGTCATTCTTCTTGTTCGGGTTGTTGTTGTTGTCCTTATCCTTGTTTGTACAGAGAGCACTCCGATCAACTCGATCCTTTCATATCATCTCCCTATCCTTCAAAACATCTAACCCCAACCCCGTTGCCTCACATCTCTTCTCATCCATCACCTGGTATCATATACCCAATCTCCTGACCCCCAACTCATGAACCCATAGCCCTCGTGCTCTTCCTTCCCCCTTATCACCTTCTGTGTAGATAACTATCCTCGTAACCACTTTCCCCCTCCACCATGAACGCCATATCGTCAACCTTTTTATCCGCCACGTCCATCATCAGTCCGGCTCCAGCTCAAGGCCGATCTCTCGTGCCACTCCCCGGCGCCCCGCTCTCAAGTGATCCCAATCTCATCCCCGACAAATACCTCGACTCTCCCTCGTCCCCCCCTCCATCTTCTAGTATCATAGACGAAAAGTCAAATGGCCATACCACCTCGGCTCATCCTTATCCCGCTCGCTACCCTCCCGTCCTCGTTGACAACACCCCAGCGACCGATTCACCAGACATACCCCATCTCAACCTCGTCCGGTCACCTCCTAGCCAGCTGCTTGACGCACCAGCGAGAGCAGCGATGAACATGCCAAACTCTGCCACTGCCTCTGGTCAAGCGCGTGCGTTTAGAGGAGAGGCTCAAACACCGGATTATCATGTGGAGAATGGGACTTCTTATCTTGCACCCCAAGGGGGTAGGAAGGAGGATGAGTCGGTACCTCTACTCGCTCCCACACCACGGCATGCCAATGGTTTTGCACCCATCTCTCGACCTTCTTCCGCGGCATCCACTTCATCAAACAGAGGCGTGCTGAGAAGAATATTCATCGATAGAGCAACAACACCTTCTCAGCATCTCACACGACCAACCTTTCCTCCCCCATCACTCTCTACATATGCGCCGCAACCACACCAGCCTCTCACCCTTTGGGCTAAGATTGATCTAATTCTGGTACAGACTATGTCTGTGTTGATGTCGACATTCTTCCTAGCGTTCGTGGTCGGCTGGGCTGTAGCGGCGGAAGTGGCAAAAGCATTCCCCAAATGGGTATGGCCGGATAAGCCCAAACACTTCCCATGGGACGATGAAAAGTATTGGAGAAAAGAGGGGAGGAAAGTGTCCAAAGATCCAAGAGATTATGCTAGACAGGTGGGTATGGATATTGAGCACCAGACGGTGGAGACAGAGGATGGGTATTATTTGAGGTGTGTCCGAGTTTGCTTTACCACTTCCACACTCCGCATGTGCTCAACAGGATCGTCGTCTGACTCGGCCAAGGCGATAAGCTGATGCTCAGAATGCACAAAGTCATTGACCCTGACGCTCAACCACATTCTGATGGTAGAGGTAAGTGCTTCATCTTCATCCACCACAAGTCCGGCTCTCACGTCTGCCCACGATTAGTCATGCTCGACTGTGAAAAATATGCCGACGTCCAGGTGGATTCCCTGTTCTAGTTCTACACGGTCTGTTCCAATCCTCCGGCTCCTTCGTCACCTCTGAAGATCGCTCTCTCGCTTTCTGGCTCGCTAGACAGGGGGGTTATCAGGTGTATCTAGGCAATACTCGGGGTATTTTCGACATGGGTCATCGCACCTTTTCTCGAAATGACCCAAGATTTTGGGACTGGACCATCAGAGAGCTAGCAATGTATGATCTTCCAGCGATGATCGATCATGTTTGTAAAGACAGCGGATATGATAAGGTGAGCTAGCACCAACTTGACTTAGCTGATTCATCCAGGTTGCTTTCATCGGACACTCCCAAGGCAACGGCCTTACCTTCATCTCCCTCTCTCTCGGCATGTGCCCATCTCTCGGAAAGAAGATGAGCGTCTTCATCGCTTTAGCCCCTGCCGTTTATGCTGGTCCCCTGACGACTGGATTCCCATTCACTACTCTGAACCGGTTGGAATGGACCACATGGAAGAGAGTTTTCGGGGTTTTGGACTTTATACCTCTGATGAGATGGGCATATGATTATTGTCCGGCCAAGATATTTGTGAGTGCCAGTCTTGCATTGCCTTATCCTTACTCTCTCCCCAACAGCACCTACTACTGCCTCACCACAGACCCAGGCCCTTTGTCAATCTATTGCAGACTCTGTGTCTTCCTCGCCTACAAAATCAGGTCGACGGGGGAAGTTTTGGCGTTCGGATCTCCGAGACTGACCATCAGGCAACGCTAGGTTACATCATGTTTGCTTTTCTCTTCTCTTGGACAGATACCAACTGGTGAGTCTTCCCTGCACAATCATCTCATCGTCTTCTATTTTCCTCTCTTTGACGTACTTTTTGAACTTCTCGCTGACGTTGAGGCTCCGGCGTCGTAAAACCAAAATGTTTCGATTCACTCCCACGCCCGTCAGTTCGGCGTCGATCTTTTGGTGCGTTCCGTCTTCCCCTCCACACCTTCCACTACACCCTGCCCTTAAGGTCTGCGATTCACGTTTATGTGAACGAATCCATATCCCACGGTTTCATCAAACACCTGTTCCTGTTTGGCGTGCGGATTTTTCTTTTGAACGAATGCCCACGCTAACGTACAGGTGGTGCGGAAAAGGTGGATTCGCCGATCGGAAATGCACATTGGACGATACCCTCGATCGTTGGTTCGATGACAGGTTCCCTCCTTTGGCGTTGTATTACGGTGGACGAGATTTCTTGGTGTTGGTAGAACCGCTTATCGAACGTTTGAAGAGTAAAGAAAAGGATGTGAAGGTGATAAAGGTTATCAAGCTGGATCAATCAGAGGTAAGTCGAATATGCCTCAAGCTCTCACAATCCTCAAAGGGGATATGTTCAAACCGTGGCTTCTATTCATTTTGCCTTGGGGGATCGCCACAGGGAGATGAGTTGGCTCAACTGCCGAGCAGAATTGAAGAGATCGCCGATATGAACAACAAAGAACCAGACGGCGTAAAGCAATGCTAACATGTAGCACTGTGATTTTTACTGGGCGGCGGAGGCGGTAGAATGGGCGTATGAGTCTTTTATGGGTGAGTGCTTTGGTCTGTTTCTTTTTCACTCTTTCCCACCCCCAGTGCCCTTGTCAAATTAGGAAAGTGCTCCTTCTCCTTTCAGTGTTAGTGGGGAGGAAGCAAGGTCTTTGTCCATCTCCAAACCTCTCAGACCAAGGTCGGATGTTGTCCAAAAATGGCAACGTAAAAAAATGCGCTTGTCAGGACTTCGTGTCAACCTTGTGCTAGAGGAACTGAGTCGGCTATGAGGACCAGCTGATTCACTAGATGATATTGAAAAAACCCGACCGAAGTATCCTGAAGAATTGAAAGAAAAAGAAGAATCATAGACCCTTGCCCTGCCCTCCTTGCTCATACTTTCTCTACCATAATCACCAACACCACCATCTTACCTCTGTCATCCATCAGTACCTTGCCTTCTTGCGTCTACCTTCCCAGTACACCAGTGCTTTGTCATCTTGCCACTATCGGACATGTCTGAACGAACTAGAATTGTATAATCCTAGAATTGTCACGATTCACACGTCGATACACGATGTAGTATGTGTGTCTAGAATCCTTCTGACGGTGACACTGCTTCTACTAACTCTCCACCACTGTGACTAGCTTCCCATTACTCATGCTTTCAACTTTCCAATACTCGTACGTGTACTAATATTCCCATTGCTAGCCCCCCCCCCCTTTGTGACTAATGTCATGTTTATTGAGCGAAAACGTGATTTTCAGATATGTTAGATTGTCTCATGTACAGTAATGTCATACATGTCAAAACACATCGTTTCACATCTTAAGTGCTACACGCAACAATGACAAAATACATATGTGTTCCTAAGAAAAATTCAAAGCATTGTTCAACTAACACAAGTACAGATCGTCCTTCTAAAACACCTACAAAGTATACAAGAAAACTTCCAAAACACAACTCACCTAATCATGATACAGAATCGAGCGTATCGCCATGGAAACAATTCCACAAAGTAGTAAATACGAAAACAAGAGACAATCGTAAGATCTGGACCCGAGGTCCATATGTAATCCAAGACGATCCGACACAAGTTGTGCCACATACCACCGAATGTCCAATTGACCGTCCATAACACGAATAGATTGAAATCTCAATTCTCTTAAGTCCAAGGAATCAAACGAGTAACCAGAACCCAAGTCATTAAACCTGAAAAACAAAAGTCAGAAGTCGGAATTCAGAGACAGACCCCGGGATTAGATCAAACCATCCCACGATCTTTCCTCAACAACTTCATCTTACTCCTAAACCTCTCCAAACCTGTCCGTCTTGGTGAATTAGGTCTTTCGACAAAAGGAACTTTCATAGATTCTTGTAAAGGTGGTGATAAACCCGTATGACCCAACATGGAAGCAGCATCCATCGAATATCTCTCTGTATCATAATTCATTTCCCTAATACCTATCTTATTCCTCTCTTCCTTATCTTCTCTCCCCTCCATAATCTCTTGATGTTCTGCATCGGTGTCTTCTCTACGCGAGTGTGGAGGAGAAGAATGAAGTGTGACATCTTCCGCACTGACATGTGCTGGCATAGGTGATTGTGTTCGGATAGGAGGACGACCGGAGAAAGAACGAGATTTGTAACGTGATTGAGGTCTTTCAATTTGGTTCGTGTTTCTCTTTTCTACCATTCGAACTTCAGATGAATCCCCGACATCTGATCGACTGACAGATCGGGTAGAGGGAGTTGGGTTTGATTGCAACGACTGATAAGGTGTTAGACTTGAAGTTGAAGTCGCTTCATGTGGAACGTGAGAGTAGATAGGATGATGTGAGTGTGTATCGTGAAACGCTCTCGCTTCTTCGTGAGATATCATCGATGGAGCTTGAGAATTGTAGTTTCGAGATGAAGCAGGAGGAAAAGGATACGAAGGAATATTCGGTATAGGAAAAGAAAGTCTCGGTTCGTTATGGTCTAAAATTGGAGTTTGGTACCAATTGACGATATCCGGACTGGGGGGTGGAAGAGGTGTCAATGGAGAAAGGTATAGGCCAATGTTGAGGTTGTAACAAAGAACCCGGTAGTGGAATAGTAGGAAATGGTATATCGATTCCAAGTCCAGTACCATAAGCCTCCAGTTGTTGTGGGGGCAACAGAATATCTCGAATGATCGTAATTTTCATGTGATATAGGGTGGTAAGGTATATCAGACGGTCCCATATTGTAAGAAGGATCATAATTTGATGTTTCTGTATATCCCATTTCATGTGACGAGGGGTCGTAGTTTGACATGTCAGGCATCACATGATGAGAAGTAGGATTATGACCATAAGGATGGTTATGACCCCATGGTTGGGTCATATGATTCCATTCTGTGACAATGGGTACATTTGCTTCATGTGACGCAGGGTGATAATCTGACATTTGTGGTAGAGATACAGGACCAAGCATTCGTGATGCGGGATTAACAGAATGTCGCATGGGATTGTGGAAATGTGACCTAGGACCCATGGTAATCGGACCATGATAGTCAAATCGACTGGAAGGTCGATGAAGAGGATCATACTCCGAAGGAAGAGATGAGTTGGTGACGATAGCATTTGGATCACTGGCACGATCCACGACGCCCACATGTGAAGTAATCGGGGAATTTGGACTTCCTGAAGAATAACTATCATCATCAAAATGAAACGGAGCTAATGTGGAAGCGGGTGACGAGGTTCTGTATCTCACCCTATCACCAATCGGAGGATTAGTTTGGTTGTGTCGCAATAGGTCTGGAGCTTGAGTTTTTGGACTGATTACTCCTTCGTTAGGACCAGTGTCGGTATGAGCGGCTTGACGCTCGGTCGGGCTGGTTGCATGAGATGGTGTGTCGCTCTGTTCCGATACGATGCGCTCGGGGATCTGCGGTCCACGAGTATTGTCCGACGCTTGTTGAATGGCAATCTCCATAGGTTGATGTGGTACAGTCGAGCATACGGCTTGTCTCACGCAAGGATCGCCCCTGTTCGAAGAAGTCCGCAACGGACTGGAGTTCGAGCCGAATCCCACTTCATCATCTCGGTTCCCTTCCACCGACTCCCCATGGAGATAGGGCAAGAGGGTCTCTTGTTGTTCCTCAGTCGGACTTCCAGAGGTTTCATCACTCCCACTCTCCTCTGCCGGTCGGTCTGGGGTCCATACTGAGAAGTAAGAAAATGGATTTCCTTGACTATCGATCCCGCTACGTCGACGAGCCGATCGTCCAGGTTGAACCCCTCCAAGAGGTCTGGCTCGAAGAACTGCTGGCCTTTCCCTTTGTCTAACTTCATTGGAGGTCGGTTGGCCAATACAAAGATTGCCTTGAGCTTCTTCGCGATCATTTGGAGAAGGTTGACGAATGGTATCTATCGAAACGTCTCCTTCTTCTTCTCGTGTCCCGCGTGAAGGGCCATCATAGTATTGATCAATCGAGTTCGCATCCGCTCGACGGGTCTTCTCTCCTGGTGCTATTTCAGCCATCAGACTGCTAAGAGAAGAGTGACTATCTGCCGAAGGTAGATTATTGAGCAAATCAGAGATGTTGGAGTATGGATGTCCTTCAGAGATCGGTTCTGTATCATCTGGACGAGGAAGAATTTGACCGCAAGTCATATGACGCATCGACTGGTCCGACAGATTTGAGCTGGATCGTACGGAATACGCAGAGGATGATGAGTGAGCCGACTCGACTTCATTAGACACATCACCATTTCCCATGGCGACATTTACACTTTGTTCCCGCGGAATAGTTGGGATTACGTCTTGAGAAGAACGTTGACCTTTGAGCAATCCAAATCTCGTTCTTGACGTGTCCCATCGTTGCTGACCAGTGCTGGAGTCTAGGGATGGAATCTGCATTAAACTCGAGGTTGGTGAGAATACATCTCTTTCCGTTGAAAAACCTACAGGGATAGGAATAGGTCTTGGACTCGATTTCCTCACCATGTGATCCGTACCACTTCCTTCTGCCATACGAATACTCCCCTGAGAGGGTCCTTGAACGGGCTTTTGACTTTCATTTGACATTACAGATGGAGCTTGTATCTTCGTCCAGCTCAAGGGACTATCACTTCTGAATTCTTGAGGAAGAGGGGATCTGTGAAAGGCTGCAGGTCGGTCCAGTACAGTAGATAGAGATCCGCAATAATCGCTGGGACCGACCAGGACTCCCTCGGTGCTATCTTCGTCCCACCTCGAATCCGGATTGTCAACCGCTCGCTCTTTGCCTTTTCCTTTACTGGTACTTTCCGTAGTCTTTGGAGTGAGACGCACACGAAGACTTTGAAAGACCTTATTGGTAGCTTTGGTGAAAACGGAGCCAAATGATCCCATCTTTCCCTGTCTGCCCAATGAAGAAGAGGAAGAACTGGACTGAGGCAAGGAGATTGGAGGGGTGGGAGCTCTTGACAGATGCATCTCCTTCTTTTCGGAAAACTCGGTCATCGGCTCGATGCCTGTGGGAGGAGAGGGCAGCGCTTTGAGTTTTGGGGCCATTTGTGTGGGTGTACCTGGAAAAAGTCTCCCAGTCAGAGAAGATAATTGAGCGCGCTCTCGCCAAGTGTGATTCTCAATCAGGGTGTCGAGCGAGCGAATAGAATGGGAAGTAGGTACGCCTGGTGGGGCAGCACCCGCAGAAATGAGCGTGGTAGTAGGAAGCAATTTCATCGGGGGCGAGGGAGTTGCAGCGAGCGATCCAGGTGAGAATTTTACTTTGGGACTGTTCCCCGTTGTGGTTGTAGCCATTTTCACCGAACTATCATGAGTTTCAGGAAACTGGGTGAGGTTTTCGCTATCCTCGGGAGACCATAATGAATGAATGGGATGGACTTGAGGAGTATTTTGGAAATCAGGCTCTCGAAGTCGAGAAGGATATTTTCGATGTTCCTTCGCACCAGTGAGTGGATTGATATCGTATTTCGGGGCGAAAGACTGGGTAGTCCTTCCAGGTGATGTGAGCTGAATCTGGGGAATGGGGCTAGACAGATTTTCGATCGTTTGAGGGGTTTCGAGGATCTCACAAGGCGGAGATTCCATATCAGGAGTGCTATTTGTCTCTGCCGGACTTGGCATCGGCCATAGTTTGTGACTTTGTTTGATGGATGAAA